CACCTTTCCTCTACCCTCCCGGTATCACCACTCATACCACTGGTCCTGAAGGGTTTATCTGTCCTGGATTCCCTGTGTTTCCAGTTCCTATCTGTACCAGCGCACATCCTCTGGTCTAGCCGGATTTGTAAGGTAGATTTGGGATCATGATAGTGGGGGAAGGAAGCATTTAAGAACTAGAGGAAAGTTATATGTTTCATGGAGTGGATGATACCTTAAATTACAAAATCTGAGTTTCATCCTAAACTGTGATAGTTAACATAACCTATGTCTTTAGAAAATAAAATTTTCTCAAAGTTGCTTAATCTTCTTTCCAGAATAAGAAATGTTAAAAAGGAATATAATGGGAAGCCTGGAAAAATACAAGCATTGCGAGGTAAAGAGAAAAGCATTCTTCTGATGAAGTTTTTATATCAGGAAAAAAGTGTGTTATTAGAAAATAAAAATAATTAGTTGAACAATAGAGAATAAATATAAAGGGGAAAAGTCTTAAAGTATATTTTTATATTGAGAGAGAGTGCTCGGTGTGTGTTAATGTAACTTCACTATGCATATTGGTTTATAATTTCCACCTCTATTTGTTTAACTGAACTTGAAGTATCACTGCAATTGCTTTTATTTTCATAGACCATTTGATCATTTCTTGTGGGTTATGATTAGCCTTCCTTTCGGTTCTCTGGGAATCTAATTTCCCAGCTTTTCTGTCTTCAGAGAATCCCTTAAGATTTATCTAGAGAAATGGATGGGGGTTTTAAATATATACACAGTTAAATAAATTATTTAATAAAGTACAAAGTAAAATTTGAATCAGATGGCATGTCAAGATACAATTGGCTATTCCATTTTGAAATGACCCCCATTCTATGTTGGATATGGTTCAACGTCTAATGGCATATTTTATTCTACAACAGGTATATGTTTTGACATATATGAAGGGCAGGTCACTGCAATTCTGGGGCACAGTGGAGCGGGTAAATCAACGCTGCTGAACATTCTGAGCGGCTTGTCTGTTTCTACAGAAGGTGAGAAAGTAATTTTACAAAGCAGGTTAGCTGATAGAAAAACAAGAGCAAATAACTGCCTGCCATTGAGTCAATTCCAAGTCCTCGGCCCTCTATGTCCGGGAGAACTGCCCTCTCCGCTTCTGAGACTGTGATTCTTCATGGGAGTAGAGTAGGTGGTCAGTTCAAGTCCCTCAATTTGATTATTCAAAAGACTGATGGTATTCTAAAGCAGACAGTTACACAGGTGGTCCCTCTAAAAGAGGAAATATTTACTTTACATGTACATAACCTCATGACAATGGTCGTATCTTGATTCTACGTGTTTTGTAATTCACACAGTATTGTGGACCTGGATGTTCATGTTAAAATTCAGATAGTTCAATGTCTTCATTAGAAAGTCATTAGGCTAAGAAGTCACCATTAGAAAATGTGACGTGGCTTCCACTCTGTCAGGACACCTGTTTGGGAAACGAGGACGTCAGCATTAATAGGTCAGTCCTCTCTCATCCAGTTGTCACATTCTCTCACATTTATGTTTATAGGATCGGCCACTATTTATAACACCAAGCTCTCCCAAAGTGCCAATATGGAAGACATCAGAAAGAACCTTGGATTTTGTCCACAATTCAATATCCAATTTGACTTTCTCACTGTGAGAGAAAACCTCAGGCTATTTGCCAAAATAAAAGGAATTCAGCCAAAGGAAGTGGAACAAGAGGTAGATGTGCAGATTTGAATCGACTTCAGAAATGATTCACTTCACTTACTGCTGACTATTCTTGCTCAACTATTGCTTTATTCTTTGTAAATAAAATGGAGTTTTAGAATAAATTTCAGCTGATTTATTAGTGAGTTTTGTCTTTTTAATTTAGTATGTCTTCTTGGATAGGTAAAGAGAATTATAATGGAATTGGACATTCAAAACATTCAAAATGTCTTTGCTAAAGAATTAAGTGGTGGACAGAAGAGAAAGCTGACATTTGGGATAACCCTGTTAGGAGACCCGCAGGTGAGAGAACATATTTCATTAAGCTTAATTTGAATGGAAGGATATGAAACAATGATCATTGCTGAAGTTCTTCTTTAATGAGTAAATGCAAGAGACCGCTTACGATGAAGTATCAAGCCACTTCATATGGGATCCATGGGGGGGGGGGGGTATTTCGAAATCATCGTGGTCTCTTGGCTATGTTATGAAGTAGACAGTGCACTCATGCATTTCCTCCTTGGTAGGTTTTGCTATTAGATGAACCAACTGCTGGCTTGGATCCCCTTTCAAGGCACCGAGTGTGGACCCTGGTGAAGGAGCGAAAAGCAGACCGCGTGATCCTCTTCAGTACCCAGTTCATGGATGAGGCCGACATCCTGGCCGGTGATTGTCAATTCCTTCCTTTGAATGTGTTAGACAAAGGTTTAGTGTGAGAGAAATCGAGCCTGTTACCCATAGAGGAGAATTTATATGCCTCTCAATTGGGTGTGTCCTCAAGATGGACCTCCTCGCCGGAGAAATTCTGAGTTCCTAGTGAGTTCTTGGACTTGTATTTCATAGCTCTTCTTCTTCTTCTTCTTCTTCTCTTTTAATAGTTTTATCGACATGCAATTTGTCGATATCATTCAATTCAGTAGCTCAACTATGATAAAAATCATCAACTTTAGAACATTTTCTTCTTTCTTGGACTCGTTGTGATTAGCTCCTCATTTCTCCCACCTTCACTGTCATACCCCAAAGAAGCCATTAATCCAGTTACTGTTTCGATAGCATTGCCTATTCTGGATTTCATATACAGGAATACACGTCCCCCCCGAAAGCAAAACAAACAACCCAACGACCATAAAAATAGATAAAACAGCGCAAAACGTCTTGAAAAGAAAGGAGAAAATAGTAAAAACTAGCTCTTCTTGCCTGTAATTTTCTTCACTGCCTACATTAATTGTTAGTATATGTTTTGGCCCTTGAAAAACTCATCGGTTTTCAGATATAGTTGTCTCTCCCTTGGGGGAAAACAGCCTTCTGGGTGGAAAAAGTCCCTTTCGTACACCTTGATGGCCTTCTTAGAAGGATCTTTGTTCATTGAGTGAGATGTGTGTGGAGATGCAAGAATGGAGAATTGGAGCTAGCACCAAATTTGTAGGAAACCGTGCAGCGTGGGGCAAGGTTAGGGTGAATGACTGTGTGAAGGAAGAGTCAAAAGACAGAAGTAAACCAACAAAATGCAAAGGAAGCTGCAAAGAGATTCAGGGGATTCCTGTGTGGTGTGAAGTGTAATAGTATCCCCTTGATTTATGAGTTGAAATAAACACTACCTATTGTATCAGTTAACGGACACCTCCGAAATGCTTAGTAACCAACCAGCCAAAAACCAGTACCGAAAATCCATAAGCATTTATTTAGTCCACAGAGGCAAAGGATTGACAACTTAGGGTGGGGATTTGGGGATCTTGATAGGGTTCACTCATGCTTCTAGAACTTACCTGAGCACTGGCCTCTATTGCTGTCATTAGGTGTAGTTCAATGCCATTGCTACTTTATGCAAAACAGAATAAAACACTACCTGGTCCTGGGTTATCCTCACAATTGTTCCTATGCCTGAGCCCATCTTTGCAGCCACTGTGTCATCCATCACTGTCCTAGCTTAAATGACGGTCCTGCTCGACATGTATTTCAGCCTCCACCTGGCCCAAAACCCAGGCATGTTTTCATGGCACTCGCTGAGACAAAGAAAACCATCCCCAAGGCATAAACCCGCTTCAACCCATTGCTTGCTTAGTGTTGCCAAACATGCTGCTGCCCCAAACAAGGCATATGGTCCAGAGGCCATGAAGGGAGAGCACTGACACTTTACCTAAAAGTCTGTGGTCATGGGACAAGGTCATCAGTGTTGTGGCATCGGGTTGGCTATGGAGGAGGCTGTGGACCTCGGCATCCTGCTTCAAGAGAAGCATTCGTATGACAAGTGAGGCTCAATGACATCAGGGTTACGTTTCAATGGAAAAGTCCATTCAGTGTTTTGGTAGCCAAAGTAGAGAACATGCCTCTCTAAAGAATGACTGCACATAATTGATTCTTCCTTTCTTAATTCTCAGACAGGAAAGCGTTTCTGTCTAATGGGCAGTTGAAATGTGCAGGATCGTCATTGTTTCTGAAGCAAAAATGGGGCATTGGATATCATTTAAGGTCGGTCCCCTTCATGGATTCTGAGAAGTTATTCTTAATCTGAGTGAGTTGACCCTAACCATCAAAACCAAATCTACTGCCGTCGCGTTGAATTCAACTCATCTTTATCAGAATGAGCAGCTGGGTCTGAACTTGGCAGTCAGCAGCTCAATCCAGACCCCACTATGCCAGCAGCCTTCCTGAATTATTAACAGAGGCAATATATGACTGAATCCTTTAGCAATAGTTTAAAAAGTTAATTATTGGTAGAAGCTGATTTGTAATAAACAATGCAAAATATTCCCCTCATTAATAGTTCTTCTTGACAAATGTCTCTTGGTTTGAAGCATGTGAGTTTCTAAAAATTGTATTTTTTCAACATAATAATTTGGGGTTTGATATGTAAGTGGGGGAATGGATTTTTATGTTTTTAAAAAGCTCCAAACAAAAAATTATCTAATGGCCCTAAAAGTCTAAAAGTTGCCTCCTGGGTCCACTTGATAGGATGTTGGAGTCATGTCTAATGTTCAGGGAAGCACTTCTTGCCAGCAAAGAAGATCTGCAGCTGTAAAAGGCTGTGGTTCAGAGTGGCCATGGTACTACACAGAGATCAACTGTTGATCAATAAGCATATTCATTTTTCCATCAGCCGGAAGATCAATCTTTCAAACATTTTAAATCTAGCTCAAGCTCTTTCTCTCTCCCTGGGTGGCGCAAACAGTTGGCAGTCAACGACTAATCTAAACTTTGGTGGTTCAAACCCGTCAAGACACACTGGAAGAAAGACCTGGTGATCTACTTCCATAAAGATTGCAGCTCAGAAAACCCCGTGGAAGACCCAGAACAAAAAATCATATCGATGTGAATGAGGGGGAGGGCAGAGTGGAAGCCCAAAGCCCATCTGTGGACAATTAGACATCCCCTCACAGAAGGGTCACACGGAAGGGATAGCGAGTCAGGGTGCAGTATAATACCGATGAAGCATACACCTTTCCTCTAGTTCTTTAATGCTTCCTCCCCACCACTATTATGACCCCAATTCTACCTTACAAATCCGGTGAGATCAGAGCATGTACACGGGTACAGATAAGAGCTTGCAACACAGGGAATCCAGGACAGATAAACCCCTCAGGACCAATAATGAGAGTGGCTAGTGATACAAGGAGGGGAAGGGGAAGGTGGGAGGAGCTAGGAGGAACTGATCACAATGATCAAATATAACCCCCTCCCAGGGGGATGAACAACAAAAAAGTGGGTGAAGGGAGACAGCGGTTGGTATAAGACATGAGAAAAAAAATTATAATTTTGTAAATTATCAAGGGTTCATGAGGGAAGGGAGGTGGGGGTTAGGGAATGAGCTGATACCAAGGTCTCAAATAGAAACAAAATATTTTGAAAATGATGATGGCAACATATGTACAAATGCACTTAACACAATGGATGGATGGATGGATGGATGGATGGATGGATGGATGGATGGATGGATGGATGGATTGTGATAAGAGCTGTAAGAGCCCCCAATAAAATGATTAAAGAAAGAAAGAAAACCTTGTGGAGCAGTTCCGTCCTATAAATATATGGTTGCCACTATCCAGAATGGCAATGGGTTTGTTTTAGTGAGTGATGTGTGTATGTGATATGTGTCCATGTAGGACATATGTGAATCATCTATAGCTCCCTGTAAAATTCTCACTTTCCATGCGAGAGAGGATAAGAGTTCAATTCCCTGCTCCTGTAGAGCCAGGTTGCTAGTGGATGGTGTGTGGCTAAGATGCTGGCAAGTTTTCAGCAGCGTTTCCAGCCGGGAAGGAAGGGATAAGTGCCCTACTTCCAAAAGGCAGCCAATGAGCATTCTATAGCTTAAGACAGGATAGGATGTAATCTGTAATCAGTAACCCACACAATATAATTAATTATCATGGGATGACACAGGATTAGGCAATGTTTCATTTAGTTGTGCATGGGATTTCCCACTCACACACAGAGCACATTCACTGTGGTTTGGGTTGTTGGCATGGAATGTGTCTATTTCCCCCACTAAAAGAGAAAAGAGATAAAGGCCCAGTTGGCATTTGGATGGAACTCTATAAGAACTGATGACTGAGGTTAAACCCAATACGACTACAACGAATACAAACCATTTACTCAAAAAACTATCTTTGTCATGTGAGTTGGTGCTGACAAATCCAAAAGACATGTCCTCTTCTGACAGTTTACACAGGAATGAAACGTGTGACCCACAGAGAATCACTTCCCTCGTCAAACAACACATCCCAGAAGCCAAGTTGAGAGCCGAGAGTGAAGAGAAACTTGTGTATACTTTGCCCCTGGGAAACACAGACAAGTTTCCAGGTAATTGACTGTGTGGTCCTTCAGAGCGCAACTCGGACGGAGTCCATGGTTATGGCGATGGAGAGGCCACTAAGGTGCCATGACTGACCTCACATAGAACATCACTGAGGGCCTCTGATCATGCTCTTATAAAATACTCATGAGGGCCCGTGTTTGTGTCACACAGCACACAACCGAGGGCCGATGCTTGTTCTCTCACAGGCCACTGAGTCCTTGACCAGGCTCTCACACTTCAAGGGTCTCTGAGTACATCACACAGGGCAGCCCTGACGATATAGAATTATATCACACACACCTTGCTGAGGGCCTATGAGCCTGACCGCACAGAACACTGCCGAGGGCCCATGACTATGACATTGACCTTGATGAGAGTCCAGGCTCAGTGTTTCTCAGCCCAGCCCTGAGGGTCCGTCACTGTGTCCACAGATGCTCACTGAGGGCCTGGTACTCTGCCACCTACAGTACTTCTGAGAATCCAGATGTACACTGATTGTGTTGTCTGTGTTTTCATGAGTTGGATTTTAAAGCCCCTATAAATGAAAGTATTTAATTATAAGGACCCTGCTTTTCTTTCCAATATGATAAATCATATTACCAGACATGTGGCTTTAATGTTGGACCCAGGAAACTGCCCAGGAATGGAGTTCATCATGAAAAGCTGATTTAGCTAATTTGTCTGTGTCAAATGAAACTTCGAAATCTCTTTCCACAGCCCCACCCCCAGAATCACAGAGTTTTAACGTATAGTAAATAAGACCTTATATGTTAAAATGCATGTAAACACTTCTAGATTTTTTTGGTTACGTTTTTATTTTAAAGTAATATTCTCATAAAAGGAGAGAAAAATGGGGAAGGAGATAGAATTCATCCATGCCTAATGAGTATTCAAATAGCTACATAAGAGAAAATTGCACAAATGCACACAGAGCCATAATAGTTCAAGAAAATCTATAACTTAATAGACAAAATAGAGATAAAAATAATAATAAACGATTCAATCCAAGAGAGCATTTCTTTTTTTTTAATTTATTTACTTTCTCTCCCCCACGCTCCTGTTCCGTTCCCTCTCCCCAGCTTCCCCCTAACCTTCAAAAGCTGCCTCCTTTGGTGTAGAAACATTTGTCCTGATGGTTAAAAAAATAATCATATTGGTCTTATACAGTATTTTTCTTCATGAGATTGACTAATTTTGCTAAGCATGATGTTATCTAAATTTGTCCACGTTATGAGGTGTTTAACAGTCTCATCATTGTTTTTCAGGGATGCATAGTATTCCACCAAGAGAACATCTTATGGAAAACATTTCCTTGGATTATGGTGGCAGCCATATTACGAAACTATTTTAGATTTATTTATGCTGAGTCATCTTTATAAAGTAGCATGTTTAGAACAGTACTCAGTAATTTTCATTACATCGATTTGTTTTCTGTTTTTTTTAGACCTTTACAATGACCTTGATAAGTGTTCTGGCCAGGGCATAACGAGTTATGGTGTTTCCATGACAACTCTGAATGAAGTATTCTTAAATCTAGAAGGAATATCAACAATTGATGAACCAGGTATAAAACCTTGTGTCTTACATAAAAGTTAACAAGAAAAAAAGTGACCATGTACGATTTCACATATATACATTTTTTTATGTGGGGTTCTGCCTAGGACAGGTATTTGATGCAAAATAGTTGTCTACTTTTTAAGGTCTCATAATTACTTTCTGTTTAACACAATCAGACTTGGTGCTAGGCAACGTACCTTGTGACATATATCTACTTCCAATGCAGAGCTGGTCACATCTCCTTGTAATGACCTCTCCTTCCTTTATCATCCACGACTCTGTGAGCTGTCTGCTAGTGTCATGAATTCTGGGCTTGTCTCTTCCACGCTATTTCTTAGTAAAATGTGCTTGCTCTTAGCTAATGCTCAAATTCTTATTGATGTATTAATAGCAGGTAATACAGTCAGATCTCCTCCTTATCGGGTTGACTCTGGAAAGAGAAGATTCAGGTGTCTACAATGTGCCAACCACAGTGCTCAATTATTAGATCATGTTGTTCTCCACTTCCATAATAACTTCCTGATGAGGTGAGCGTAGAAGTTGAATGATGAGCTAAAGCAGTGGTTCTCAACCTTCCTAACGTTGCGACTCCTTAATACAGTTCCTCATGCTGTGGTGACCCTCCCCCTCCAACCATAACATTATTTCCGTTGCTACTTCATCACTGTCATTTTGCTACTGTTATGAATCAGGCGACCCCTGTGGAAGGGTCGTTTGACCCCCAAAGGGGTCATGACCCACAGGTTGAGAACCCGCTGAGCTAAACCCATATAATGAGTGGTATATATGGGATTTGAACAGGAGAGTTTTTATGGACTTTCCACTACCTAACACAGCCAAGTCTCAATCTAGTCACTCGGATGTCAGGTATAGTGGTAAACTACTCATGTGAACAAGATTCCAGACAACAGAGGAGACGTGCCACAAACTGTGCCACCAATCTATCCTTCTGCTTCACATAAGCTTACTCTGCCCCCCCCCCAAAAAAAAAAAAGCAAAAAAAAAAAGCCCCTAGTGAAGGCCTGCTGCTGTGGATCGGAATGTATAAGGGCTTCCCAAGAACCCTAAACATTCCTCACGATTTAATTTACTCATGGGATCGCATCCATTAGGCTCTTCAAAGGAAAGGTTTCAAATACAAAATTCATAGGGATCCATATGTTAAGTTGTCAGAAGTATTGTCACAAATATTCTAATATTGTTTGTAATATTTCTAAAGAGAGAGTACGAGTAACTTAGCTTATGATAATGTGATTACAGACTTCGGCATTTGGAAACAAGAAGCAATCGATGTGGCAAGAGATCCTGAAAATGCATCTGAAATACAGCAGGGTCCGTGTTCGTTTCCTGAAATGCGAAAAGCCATCAGTGGTGGAACGCTCTGGAGAAGGCAGGTCTGTGCTGTGGCCAAGCTTCGTCTCTTAAAGTTACGGCACAGCAAGAGAGTTCTTTTGTCCTTGTAAGTACCGGGTGGCTTTGCATCTGTTTAATTCCTACGTCCTCATAAATGGACAAATCTTAACTGAAGCCTGCTACCGGCTAGGCACTGTTCCGTGTGATCTGTTAGCCAGCAACCACCAAAGGCATGAAAGAAGGGAAACAATATAAAAATGTAATAACATTTATAGTAGAGTATACTAAAAAGGGCTGTTAGGTTTGGGGATACATTACAATTTTAAATCCTGTGGTCAGAGATGGATTCATGAAAATGATCATCCTGGAGCTAAGGTAAGGTTAGAAGTACGTGATAAAACCAGCAAAAAATAAGAGGAGGGCTGATAGCATCGTGAATGAGTGGGGGGGAGTGCGGAGTGGAGACCCAAAGCCCATTTGTAAGCCACTGGACATCCCCTTACAGAAGGGTCGCGGGAAGGAGACGAGCAAGTCAAGGTGCGATGGAGCAATGATGAAACACTACTTTCCTCTAGTTCCTAAATGCTTCCTCCCCCCTCCCCTCCCCCCAACATGATCCCAATTCTACCATGCAAGTCTGGCTAGACCAGAGGAGGTACACTGGTACAGATAGGAACTGGAAACACAGGGAATCCAGG